AACTACATATACTTTATACATTCTTATTCAAAATGCTAGGAGCATATTATTCTTCTTTTCGTTTTATTTTTTATGTTTTCCTGGCCTATTTTATAATCCACAATTTTTGAAGGCCTTCATTTTTTGGCAACCTAAAATAAATATTATGCATCCTTAAGTACCAATCAAAAATAATCTTAACCCATCAAATCTTTTGATGAAAAAAAACTATTATAGAAAATTTACGATTTACACTATTTTCAAGTTTTTTTCTTATATGAAAGGCTTTTAATCGATCGTTTGATTAAATATACAGTTTACGTATCTAAAACGTTATTTGATCATAGGACTACATTAATATTGTTGCGCGCCACTATTAATGTCTTGTACATGGCAACACTAGTTACACTAGCGCCCCCTAGTGTCGAGTAAATGAAAGTATTGCGCGCCACTATTAATGTATTGTACATGGCAACACTAGTTACACTAGCGCCCTCTAGTGTCGAGTAGCAGAACTAGGAGAGTCGAGATCCTTCCAGAAACTTCGCGACCGATATGTACTCGAACATTCTAGATGTCGCTACAGTAGAAGGTTCTGGAAACTATCTGAGGCCCTATATAAGGCCGGTATAGACCACGACCGGGGCGGTATTGAATTGGCGATACAAGAGAATACTTCGAAGTGAAATAACGGCTAACTGTGTTTTATTATTAGTGTGATTTTAGGTTGTAATTAGTGTTGTGTAATTAAAGTGTCAATTTTGGTAATTCAATCGGCAGTTTTTAATTGTCTCGAACCCCAAGCTCGTAACAATTGGTGTCAGAAGTGGGATCAAATATGCCGATTTTACCTAAAGACGACACGGAGGGTATCCGTACCCGAAGTCAACGCCAACAGGAGACGGACCAGAGACGATTTGGTAATGCAACGCCGCAAACGTCGGAGGGCCAGCTGATAACCACGGAGGCCGGCCCGTCAGCAGCTCCTCCATCTGTAGCACCTGACTTAGGTGCTCTGATGATGATGCTGCAGTATCAGGCTCGCCGACAGGAGGAACAGGCCCGCCGACAGGAGGAACAGGCCCGCCGACAGGAGGAACAGGCCCGCCGGCAGGAGGAACAGACCCGTCGGTTGGAACAGCAGCTGCAGCGCGGTATGGAAGAACAGATGCTCCTCAGGAAGGACCTTCACGCTACCTTCGGGAAAGAGATAAAGGAGGTGAAGGATAGGGTTGCTCAACATGACAACCGCCTGTCGGAAGCTGAAACCCGAATCGACCAAGTGAACAATCGGGTTGACAACGTGATGGCTGACGTTAAGAAAACGCTGGACGACCTCAAACTTGGGGATGGAATTACAGCTCCCGTGGTAGCTACAACAGCTTCGCTACGTGGATTCAAAGTGCCACCGTTCGACGGGGCTTCTTTCTGGTCGGCCTACAAAATCCAGTTCGAGGCTGTCATGAAAGCGAACGGCTGGAATAAAAGTCAGGCCATGACTGCTCTCACCCTAGGCCTACGCGACCAGGCATTAACTGTTCTGGAAGCTCTCGGTAAGGAAGTGACTTACGAGCAGCTCCTTGAGGCATTGGAGGCGAGATATGGCGATGCTCACCTGGAACACGTCTTTCGTGCGCAGCTCAAAGATCGCGTGCAACGCAGTAACGAAAACCTGCAGCAGTGGGCCCTTGAGGTGGAGTAGCTGGTTCGAAAAGCGTACCAGTCTGTACCTGCGCTCATTGTAGGGAACCTGGTGCAGACATTCATCGACGGCATCCGCGACCTTGAAGTCAGAGCTGCTGTGAGGCTCGGGCACCACGAGACGCTTAAGGACGCCTTGGCCCATTTCCACTGGAGGTGGAAGCCGTGCGGCAGGATCATCGTTCCCACCGCGTCAGGGAGGTTGCAGCAGCTACAGTTCAGGACCGCAATAAGGGCTACAGCCCTAGGTGCTACGGCTGTGGGGAAAGGGGCCATCTTCGATCCAGCTGCCCTAAACGAACTGTAGAAAGGAAAGGTGATCGATATCGAGAGGGTAGTGTGGCAGACAGCATCGCCCAGCAACAGCAGGGAAACTGGCGGGTGCTAGCTGATGTTAAAAGAGCCCCAAGGATTTCGATCTCACAAACCCGTGATGGAAACAGCCTGATCATCAAGGGCGAGGTCAACGGAAAGCCGTGTAAACTGACCATAGGCACTGGAGCCTCTCGCACGGTTGTCAGTTACCAACTTATAAATCAGTTTCTTGGGGACTCCGCATACAACCGCGAATGCATTAATTTGGTGACAGCCACCGGTCAGCGCATACCCGTTCGTGGAGAGAAGGAGATGGAGTTGAAGCTAGGCAACATGATCTACCTGCATAATGGCATCGTGGCTGATATAATGGACGACTGCATCCTGGGCCTAGACTTTACGAGGAAGAATTGTTGTGAGATCGACGTTAAGCAAGGTGTTTTGAAATGTGGACAAGAGGAACTTTTCGTGGAAGGGGCATTACCAGGGAATGTGTACAGCCTTAAGAAGATTGTTCTTCCGCCGAGATCGGAAACGATTGTGCCGGTTAGACTTCCACGGAATCCTGGGCAAACTCTTCGTTGTGTACTCGTGGAAAGGGTAGATAATGACCTTCCATGGAAAGTGGCTCGAAGCTTGGTCAGAACCGCCGACATCTCAGGAGTACGTGTGCTGAAACTTTGTGATCAGGAACAGATTATAGAAAAAGGCACATTGGTTGGTACTAGTGAGGAAGTGGATTGGTTGCGTCAGTGCCAATATCTATCGACTGGGACCCCCAGCAAGGATGGACAAACTAGAGTAACCACACTTTTAGAAGACTGTCGCAGCGTTCTCTCCCCGAATGAAACGGTCAAAGCGAAGAAGCTGTTACTCAAGTTCGCCAGTGATTTCTCGTCAAACGAAGCTGACATAGGAAAGACTGGCTTAGTTCAACACAAAATAAACACAGGACAAGAATTGCCTATTCGTCAGCGGCCAAGAAGATTGCCTGTAGCACGTGAAAAGGAAGTGGAAACCATGATTGAGGGAATGGTGAAGGATGGTGTTATTGAACCTTCATCTAGTCCATGGTGTTCACCTGTGGTGCTGGTAAAGAAGAAGGATGGCAGCATGCGGTTTTGTGTTGACTACCGCCGCCTGAACGACGTTACGAAGAAGGACAGCTATCCCTTGCCAAGAATTGATGACACGCTGGACATGCTTACAGGTGTAAAGTGGTTTAGTACGCTGGACCTGAAAAGTGGCTACTGGCAGGTTGAAATTGACCCTAAGGATAAGGAGAAAACTGCATTCTCCACAGGAAAGAGTCTGTGGCAATTTAAAGTCATGCCGTTTGGATTGTGCAATGCTCCAGCAACGTTTGAAAGGTTGATGGAGCTTGTACTTACCGGGCTAATTGGAGATGCCTGTCTGGTCTATTTGGATGACATCATCATCGTAGGCCGTACGTTTGAAGAACACCTTCAAAACCTGAAACGTGTGCTCATGAAGATCCAGAGTGCCAACCTCAAGTTGAGTCCGAATAAGTGCTCACTATTCAAACGGCAAGTTAGTTTTTTGGGGTATTTAGTGTCGGAAGAAGGTATCCGCACGGATCCAGAGAAAATTGCTGCTGTCAAGGAGTGGCCGGTCCCAAAAGACAAGACACAGGTTAGAGCATTTTTGGGTTTGTGCTCTTATTATCGGCGATTTGTGAAGAACTTTGCAGATATAGCTAATCCTCTGCATAAGCTAACCGAGGAGAAGCGACATTTCTACTGGGATGAAAGTTGCGATATTGCATTCCACGAGCTCAAGAACCGTCTGTGCAAAACACCTATTTTGGGGTACCCTGATGCGGGCAAGGAATTCATAGTTGACACAGACGCAAGTGATATAGGACTTGGCGGTGTGTTGTCTCAACGGAATGGTGATCAAGAGATTGTGATAGCATACTTCAGAAGTCGTTGTCAAAGCCGAAAAGGAACTATTGTGTCACAAGACGGGAATTGCTTGCTGTGGTAAAGTCCTTGCAGCATTTTATTAAATATCTTCTAGGACGGAAATTCCACTTACGAACTGACCATGCTGCACTGAAATGGCTATTGCAGTTCAAAAATCCGGAAGGACAAGTTGCGAGATGGATTGAACTACTGCAGGAATACGACTTTGTGATCGAACATCGCAGCGGGAAATCTCATGGCAATGCAGATGCATTGTCAAGAAGACCTTGCCCTGAAGATTGCAAGCATTGTACTAGGCAAGAGGGTAAGGAAGTGGTATCTGAGGGAATGTTCAGGACAGACCAGCTCAGCAAAGAGTGGAAGGACAGCCTACAGCATGCACAGCAGGAAGATTCGGACATTAAGCCGATTCTGGAATGCATGAAGGCCATTGCTCCAAAGCCCAAGTGGAGCGATGTCTCAGCAATGAGTTCGACCACGAAAAGCTATTGGGCCCAATGGGACAGCTTGCTGATTCAGGATGGAGTCCTGTGCCGTAAATGGGAAAATGGCCGGGGAGATAGTTGTCATTTGCAAATGGTTGTCCCTAAGGCCAAAGTACCGGATGTTCTACAGCTGTACCATAGTGGTTGTTCAGAAGGCCACCTGCGAGTTAAACGAACTCTACTGAAGATCCGAGAACGGTTTTACTGGGTCCACTGTCGTGACGATGTCGAGGACTGGTGCCGAAAATGTAAAAGTTGCGCGGCTGTAAAGGGAACTCAAATTCGTAGTAGAGGCGCATTGAAATTGTACAATGTTGGTGCACCATGGGAGAGGATAGTCATTGACGTTGCGGGGCCGTTTCCTGAAAGTGAAAGTGGTAACAAGTATTTCATGGTTGTGATGGATTACTTTACTAAGTGGCCAAAAGTCTTCGCCATTCCAAATCAATAAGCTTCAACAGTTGCAGATAAACTAGTTTATGAAGTCTTCTGTCGTTTTGGAGTACCCTTAGAGATTCACAGCGATCAAGGAAGGAATTTCGAGTCTCAAATATTCCAGGAAACTTGCAGAGTTATGGATACTCATAAAACACGAACAACTTCTTACCACCCACAATCTGATGGAATGGTAGAACGATTTAATCAGACATTGGAAAGGTACCTGGCAAAAGTTGTGGAAAAACGGCAACGAGACTGGGACAGGCACATACAACCGTTTTTGTTGTCATATCGAAGCGATGTTCACGAAAGTACGTCAGTGACACCAGCTTTCGCAAACTTTGGGGGAGAATTGCGGCTGCCTGCAGACCTGATCACCGGAATACCACCTGATGCCCCACGCAGTATAACCGATTATGCAAATGACTTGCGGAACAAAATGAATGACATTTATGAGCACGTCAGACAGACGGGCCAGCAAAGGTCTGAGAAGATGAAAACACGGTATGACCGCAAAATGAACAACAAGGGGTTTGATGAAGGTTCACTAGTGTGGTTACACAATCCAGTTCGCAGCAAAGGGAAATCTCCTAAATTCAAGCTAAATGGGACGGACCGTACCGGATTGTGACAAGGATCAATGATGTAACCTACCGGATACAGAAAGGTGCCAGAGGTACTCCTAAGATTGTCCATGTGGATCGACTGGCGCGTTATTATGGGGCCAATAATGCTCGGGACGAGCATGTCTTAGGAGGGGGCAGTGTTGCGCACCACTATTAATGTCTTGTACATGGCAACACTAGTTACACTAGTGCCCTCTAGTTTCGAGTAGCAGAACTAGGAGAGTCGAGATCCTTCCAGAAACTTCGGGACCGATATGTACTCGAACATTCTAGATGTCGCTACAGTAGAAGGTTCTGGAAACTATCTGAGGCCCTATATAAGGCCGGTATAGACCACGACCGGGGCAGTATTGAATTAGCGATACAAGAGAATACTTCGAAGCGAAATAACGGCATACTGTGTTTTATTACTAGTGTGATTTTAGGTTGTAATTAGTGTTGTGTAATTAAAGTGTCAATTTTGGTAATTCAATCGGCAGTTTTTAATTGTCTCGAACCCAAAGCTCGTAACAATATTATTGTTAAAATTTATATCGATAATTTCAAAACATGACAACACGTAAGGGCAACACTATGTAAAAATGGAAACAATCAAAATGTTCCTGTATAGGACAGTTACTATACTCTTTGTTTTACTTGGAGTTTTGGCGGGATCTTGACAGGCGGCGGTTTGTTGCTCCTGTATTATTGTTTAAATAATGGTTTAAAGTTGACTTTGATATGTAAAAATGGTGCGATTTTGTGTATTATGTGTCTACGCATGTGAACTATTAGTGGAAACGGTGAAACAAGTGGTCGAATGGTGAAGTCATTCTCAAGATAAGGTTGTCTGCTTAGGTGCCTTGAGATACCATTGCCAACTGTCTGCTGGTTCAAGTTGCCGTCAAAATCTCCCAAAAACTGCTCAATGTGACGCATCAACATATTGCGAAGCAGTGTACTATGAAGGATAATTATACATTTGTACTATGAAGGATAATTATGAATTGAAAAATGGAAGACATGGCTGACGCACAACATGGCCTACACGGGGCCAAGAAATGGGGAAAAAAATGTTTACTTGTTTAAATTTACATGATAATATTCATTGGAAATTCTAAATAATAGCGGGAACGCGATTTAGAACCCATAACATGAACACGAAACGCAATTCATACGAAAAAATATACGATTATGGGAAAAAAATACAACTAACCTGAAAAATGACAATTCTTCTTCATTTTTACGAGAATTTAAATGACATCCATTGATGCAACACTTTGTCATGTTGTTTTTGCTCAATTACCCTTTACCAATGAACAAACAAGCTTCAAAATAGTCAAAATTCACTGTAACACTGAAAATTAACTCCGAACAAGGGTTAGATGACAAACGAATTACCACAAATGAACGTCATCCTAAAATGGCTTCATGCTTCAAGGTGGAGCTTGGTGATATTATGATAACTGTCAACAGAAAATTTAAGTCTAAGATATGTATTTATCTTTTTTTACATTTGAAAATCATAACGTGTGAGAATGAGACAGATATATTTTTGTTGGCAAGGTTCATATTTGCATGATATTTGTATAACCAAAAATATATATATGGAATTTACTGCTTATCGTCTATTTTTCTTATATCTATGACAATATGACGCATCAACATATTATGAAGCAATGTACAATGTAGGATAATTGTAACTTCAGGCTCAAAAGTGCTAGAATCTAGAGCCGCAAAGCCAGTTATAAGAAAATGTGACACTTGCACCGTAGATAGACGATTGAAGTCTATGACTTGCACAGCAGCGCTGCCAAAACCAATTTGTCAAATTCCCCGAAAATCCATGTCAAATTTCCCAATTTAGGGACAACACTTCAACAGATTTCCTTCTATTTTCTTTTATGAAATGAAAAATTTTCAACTAGTTTTATAAGATTTATTTTTTAAGTAATATTTTTTACCGAAAATTTTTTTCACACTCCATATTTTTGTAACAAGCATTTTACTCCATGGAGAATTTTCAGTTCCTTCCCTTGTTGCCATTAAAATTTACTGTTTTGAAACCTACTACCATTTTTAAAGGTAGAAAAAAAGTAAGAATACCGTTGAATTCGTAATTTTTTATACAATTTTTTGATACCCTTAACAAAATTGGGTGGCCAGACTTATTATATAATGCTAGTAATACGATTAAATGAAGGAAAAAAATATTAGTTAAGCTGGCAACATTAAGTACGCCATCAGTCGCGCGCAGAGATATCTTGCGCGCACTATAGTCTGTGATCGATCACTTGCGTGATTGCGTGTAGCTTGTGATCGATTCGACCTAGCTTGCTACTATTTATTTATCTGTCGGAAAATTACAATAGAGGATTCCAATTTTGATATTGGAAATACATCAGGATAGCGTTAATTGTTAAAAATAGTAAAATTGTGAGAGCGGATGTTCAACTTGCTCTCTTGCTTACGCAGTTTAATCATTATCAGTAATAAGACAACGTAACGCACTATACATTCAGTATAGTGAAATTACAGTTCGACCATACATATCTATGATTCGACAAATCGCGATTGCACATTATACCTAATGCTTCCTCTACACTACTCGCGAAGTAACTTCGACGAAGTGCTCGTCGAAGTCAATCGCAGTCCGAAGAACGTGACCACACACACACGAAAAGCTCAGTCTTGAGTCTTCCGCACCGTTAACATGAATGACGTTCAAGAGGCAGCTGCTATATGTACCTAATTGTGTGAACAGTACGACGTCAATGCGTTAACTAAATAAATAATTATGTATAAATGTTAGGTAGTGTAGTGAGACGTTTCGTGTAACTTCGGGGTACTTCGCGAAGTCCTTTGAGTCTGGCGCAAAAAACCGACAGCGATCGGAAAACACCCGAGGCGAAGCGAGGTTGGATGAAGTGAATCGAAGTACCTCTCTACGCTATTCACCTCGTCCAACTTCGATCTACTTCGCGAGTAGTGTATAGGAGGCAGAAACTTGATACACGTTGCTAGACTTAGCTGTATCGACATAGATTCCTTTGCCTTTTAATACTTTAAAAAAGTAAAACGTAAAAAAAGTTTTTATTTTTGAAATTAAAGTTTTAAGTTTTAACTTTAAATAATGCTAAGTTAAAAGTTTTAAATTATATTGTTATTATTATTTACCAAATCAGAAGTAAAAGGCACATGCAATTTGGGTTAGACATTATATATATTTACCTATTGACAACACAACTTTTAATGGACTGCAAACATTAAATTGTTTAAATGTTTTAGAATATTCTGAAAATATAAATTCAGAAGACATAATCTAGCAAATTATGTCTCCAGAATTTAAAATTTTTAATGCAACAGAACTGTGGCAAGTAAGTATTAATTAAACTCAATGATATTATATATATATATATATATAAAAGTTTAACTTATAATCTTGGAAATCCTTATCCGATTTCATTATTATAAAAAGGAATAATTTACTTTTGCAGAAAGAAACTAGCTTACCTTCAATTCCTACATTCAGTCAAAAATTGGATTATATTTTGGGTAGTGACGGTATTCCATTAGGCTCTCTCACTGAATTACTTGGGTTACCAGGGACAGGAAAAACACAAATGTGGTAAACAAAATATATTTCCCAATTTATATTTTTATCATGTTGTATTTAATATAATATCCCTCCGAACCTTTATTAGCGATTTTAAGCTTCCTCTGTCCCACTATTACCAATGTCGCCACTGAAGTTTGGAATCCAGATAAAGTTTGGTTCACTTGGTGGCAGGGACAAGGGGCCATTATTTTGTAAATGCGGCACAGGCATTTCAGTCTGCCACGGCATCCAAATTTAAAAGTAAAATTTATATATTTTTTTATTTTTCAGTTTACAATTATGTGCTGCTGTTCAAATTCCAAAAGCACTTGGTGGATTGAATGCAGAAGCCTTATTCATTGATACCAATACAAATTTTGTATTAGATAGATTCAAGGGTATTTTATTTGTGTTTTTGTTTTGTATCTGCTACTTTTGTGCAATGTCATCTTTATTATCATGCTATTCTTTGAGATTATGTAATTTTCCATTTACAGAAATTCTCTCTGCTTGTTTATTGAAGTGCCAGAAGTTATTGAATTTGCCAATAAATGCAAACAATGAAGAAGCATTGAAAAAACTGCACTATGTCAATGCCTTTGGTTTAGAAAAGTTTTGTGCTTTGATGCATCAATTACCAAAACTTATAGAAGAAAATAATGTAAAGCATAAATTTTGTCTATAAGATCTAAAGAAATATTTCTGTTTGAACTCATATTTTCCACACCAACAGGAGATTAAGGTGAAATGCTTTAGAGCCAATCTGTACTTGCTTTTCAGCTTTGCTGCATTGGAAGTTGTTAAGAAGTTTGTACCTACAATCCCAAACAGAAAAGAAGTTGGGTATATAGCCAACCTACTATTGCTACATTGTTAAAATGATACACTTTGGGGGAAGGGCCTGAGATGCTTCAGGAAGGCACTTCAACAGAAGTGACAATTAACTAGATTTCATAAGTTGTGATTCATAACCAACATAAGCAGAAAAGGTTGTTTTACTGTTCGTTGATCTAATGAATTGTGTTGTCATCTATGCTAGTTTTGTTGGTGCCATTTTCGGGTAATGTATGATTATGCCAGATGACAAGCAACAATCACGGTGAGTGTTTGCAGTTTCCTCTTTGAGGTAGAAATTTATACTCTGGACTAGCCAATGCGAAGCCCTGGTCTCTACCTAATGGAGCATAAATGAAAGGAGCTTAAAAGAAGTTATGGCCACTCTAGGATTCCAGCTCCTCAACATTAACACATTCAGTACCACCGACTCGCCCGGAGAGTTCACGTAAATCTTATTCCAGTGCCGACGACTCGTCTGGCGAGTTCAGTGTTTTTCACTAATATTTCCAAAATGCATCCGTATTTTCTGCTTAAAATTATAGTTTAGACTAAATATATGCTAAACTAAAGATTTACATGGTGGGCCGGGTGTGGAGACTCCGTTTAAATTTGAAAGGAAACAAACTATTCTGCAATGCCTTGAACTCGCTAGGCGAGTTCCCTGACATAGATCCTCAACCATTTACATGTTAGATAACGACGTCAACATAGTAGCATGGACTACCTACATACTTGTGATATGGAACTAATATTCACAATAAAAATAATACATACCATATTCTTAAAACTGAAAGCCCGTATTATAATAATAATCGTTTATTTCCAATCAAAAGTAGATAAAGAATGTGTGTGGGCGTGCGTGCGTGTTGTTGTTGTTGTTGTTCTCGAATAAGTTCCTTAAACATTCTATTAACATCAATTTTAAATGTATCGAATTCATCCTCACGCTTCCTTTTGGTACGGTAAGCTGTTCGGCTGGCCATCGGAATCGGAATAAATATTTGGGTCTGAATGGCAGTGTTTGCGATGTAAAGTTGATGGCCGCCGTCGAGACGTAGGTGTCGGTCGCGCTAGTAGCAACAATGTTCTGCGGCTGCGAAGTAGACTGCGGTGGCGAGCGAGAAATCATAAAGCGACGTTAAAACAATGTACCAGAGCAATATAAACAATCAGGTATTACGTATTTATTGCAAGCTCCAATGTTTCGTTACTATTTGCTTAGAGGTCAAGCAACTGGTCGTTGATTGACGCTTCTTATACAAAAGGTCTTTTCGTCTTATATCACTTGATCTCTCGTCCTGTGCATACAATATTCATTTATGTTATCCCTGTTTTATTCAATGACGCAATGATTAAGCGTTTTTTTCTCGTTTGAACTATTTATTAATATGCAAAAAAAATTATAACACTTCAATAATAAGGCTTTTACTCACACAGCTGCATGGGAATTTAGTAGGACTAGTGTTGAGAGTTAGTGAACACTTCTTCACTTTTATGCACTCCTAATTATTTATTTGATTTTGTCGGAATTTAACATAAGTTAACTGTATTTAACTAACTAAACCACACACGTCTGGTCTCTTCGAGAGTCCGAGGGGAAGGATATATATTAAATTATTTCATGGTAAAATTGTCTATTCACAAGTATTAGAAATTCAAAATATAACCTTAACAATAACCACAATTTAAAAGATTGACAACCACTGCTTAAATTACGAAACAAACTACCTTTTATTTTATCCAAAGAGTTTTTTGCCATTTTTACAAGCCGAATAGTCCTGAAACACTTTTTAATTGCGTTAAACACGTTAAGTACACTGTGACGGCCACAAAAATTACAAAACATAGAATTTACCCTTACTTAGTGCCAGTGAACTCGCGTGGCGAGTCGATTCAATTTATATTGCAGTGCCGGCGACTCGCCTGGCGAGTCAACCGTAAAATGTAGACGGCATCCGAGAAGACATCATGAAAATCGTAGTGGTGATGAATGTGTTAATGAATTAAAACGGCCACTCATTGTCAAACTGCCTCTAAGCAGTTATACGGAAAGAGAAGGAAATATTTAGTAACCATGCTTTGATTTTTAGACACTAAATTAATTCTATCTGAACTATATTAAATTTGAAGATGAAGTTTTCTATAATTTCTTTTAGTAAAATCTTTTTAATTTCTTTTAAGCCAACTTTAAAAAAAGAGGAGGTTCTTATTGTGACTGTGTAACTTATGTATGTTACACCCAGTGCTGCCACATGTCAGTTTAACAAATCTGTACTGTTAATGTAAAAAATCTGTATAATATCTGTTGAAAGGAATCAAAGAAAATCTGTATACATTTGTGCTGCTAGTGTAAAAAATCTGTACAATATCTGTAGAAAGAAATCAAAGTAAAAGATTTTGACCTATGTAAGTTGAGGGAAGAAGATGTGATATTAAAAAACAATTAAAATTATAGAAATATTTATATAGATTTATATATTTTTTTTCTTTGATAATTTTATCCAACATAGTTTTGTCTGGAGAGAAGGAGTAACAACATTCATTTTTATTGTTAATTAGCTGTTTGGTTAAAATTAATGCTTCGATAGTCTCAGTGTTCAAGGTATTCCTTGTCTGGATTTATATTATATAATTAAATTAATTGATAAAAATATTCTTTCTACAGCCACCGTAGAGTGTGGCAAACATAGGTTCTGAATAAATTCTTTTAATGTGGGGTATAGCAAATTTCCGTCTATATCCACGATGCTAAAAACTTCGGCCCAAAATTTCTCTAGATCTTCTTCGTTCAATTTTATAATAATTACGTTCATTTAATCTCAAATGGCGCCATTCATTGTCCAATGCCTGCAATTTATTTTTCGATACTAATTGTGGAAAATTTTGTGTTATGTGCAGAAGTGAGGAAGGAGTGTTGCGTTGCTTAATTTTATATGGATTTAAAAAGTTAAATCTCTTATAATGTCATTATTAAAATTATAACGACGTTTAATTTTTTTGGATCCTTCTATAAAAAAAACTCAAGGCAGCGTAGCCGAAATATGTTTACGTCACTTGGGAACAGGATGGAACAGAATTTTGGTGCTTTAATGTTTTAATATGACGTGCCAAATCATTTTTACCTCCGCCGGAGACAGCAAGATCTCGTAAACAAAATTTGCAGAAAGCATATTCCGTACCTTTTTGATTTGGCATTAGCCAAGCTTTAAAGTAACTCTCTTCCATCCTTAAAGCTTTGGTTAAATGTTTGAGCTTTACGGGGTTTCTTACTGGCCATTGCCCACAAAAATATAAAAAAATACCTACTTCACTTTATTTTTACTTGATTCGCGCCTTCGTTCGTGTGTATCAAACCAAACAAACTATGAAACTGTTTCGTTACATATGCGATCCGTATAGCGTCGTCACTGTCACACGAATCACGAATGGGCCGAACTGGTATAAGTTTATTTATAATCCGAGGGACTCCCCGATAACAAGCAAGAATAGATTTTTTACGCCAGTCAGTATTGCTAGCTTTGATTATTGTTAAGCCTCTTACACACAGGCGCGATATTATCGAGTAGACTGATAGATGAAAGGCGATCCTAGAAAGTATTTATGTACAAAAAGTACAAATTTCAAAAATCTGTATAAAAGTATTATTAAATCTGTTATCTGTAATGAGGTTCAAAAATCTGTATGAACACAGATAAATCTGTAAATATGGCAGCATTGGTTACACCATATCTTCATCATTTTTGAATCTAAATGTGATTATTCAGATGACATTCGTACTTGCGTTAATCCTAAGTGAAATTAAAAGGTTCAAAATTTGACATTTAATGAAAAGTAAAAGCTGACTAAAGAACTAAAAGGAATACAATAATTTCCTTATTTCACTGCTTCTGAACTTGGAGCTTTAATAATTCTATACATTAGCACCAACTTCTGTAGTTGTTATGTTTAATTTGAATTTTTTAAAATTGGCAATTACTTTTTATTAGAAGTATTTTTCTACAATAAATAAAGAACAATGAATACACAAATTGTTGTCATTAGAATACCAATTAAATTAACTTTATAATGATGTAATAAAAGCTTACATTCATTTACTGGTATATTGAAACAGGAGTATTGTAGATTTGCAAGATTTGAGTAAATTTTTTGCTCACAGGTGTATTTATTACGTTAAATAATTTTTTAAGGGTAGGGTGACAAATGGGCACACAGTCTACCTGATGGTAAGTGGTTGCTGTGACCCATAGACATCTACATTTATCCTCAATAAATAATCAAAATGCTGATGCGTCGTCACCCGTGAGGACGAAGATGGTATGCCTCTTTTCCAGTAAAATGGGTCTCCGGTTCTCTACACTCACCATATGAAACAGCAGTGTCAAGCTGCCATTGTACGCTGGTATTCTGTGAAAGCGTGGTCCTTCCCCGGACGAGCCGACCCATTTGTGCTACAACTATACTACTAATATAGCTGCAGCATGGCTCTACCACGTACAATAATACCACAGAATAACTAGTACAAGAAATAATACTAATGATGATTTCAGATAAGACTTATTGTGATAGATTCGATAGCATTTCCATTTAAGGAAGGCATATCCGCAAAACAACGTACAGGTTTACTGTTTAGACAGATGGCCGAATTACAAAGACTTGCTGTAGAGAAGCAGATTGCTGTAGGTATTCTTAATTTTCATTTATTTTTGACTATTACACTACAACAGTAAAATGTCTGTCTGTAAGCCTATCAAAAGGACTAGCACTGAACATTGGGGTCCCCTATAGATTGCCTCATATTCAACATAGTTACGTTTGGCGCTCGATTTGCAACCATACCTACTTTTTTATTATTTTTAGTAGTTATCAGGAAGATGCTGCTGTGCTCTCTTGTTTCATTTCTCTCTCTCTACGACACCCACGGACTGATACCCCATGGTAGTGGATTCTTTCTTCTTTCAAGCTTAGTGTCGGCTTCTCGTAATATAAGCCGCTTTTAATATGTGGCTTCATATAGTTTCCAGCTTTACCTAAAATAACTGGTGCTCAATTACTCCAACCATTAGTGGATGACATCTTTTTTTTATAAAATTAGGGTGACAAACGAGCACACAGTCCACTTGATGGTAAGTGGTTGCTGTGGCCCATAGACATCTACATCTATCTTCGTTTGCGAATTAAAATGCAGATGCGTTGTCAGCCGTGAGGACTAAGATACAATGCATCTTTTCCAGTAAAATAGGTCTACGGTTCTCTACATTCACCATACGAAACACAGCAGCACTAAGCTGTAATTTTACGCTGGTATTCTGTGAGAGCGTGATCCTTCCCCGGTCGAGCCGACCCATTCGTGCTACAACTATACTATTAATATAGTAGTCTACTCTACTACGTAAATCTATCTATCAAATCTAATAATCTATCTATGTTTTACCATGATGCTGAAATCATCTTATACAATCCTGTAATGATAGTAATAAGTGGATGTATAATAAATAAATAATTTGGCTTATGTCATTAACACAGGTAGTACTTACAAATGAGATGAGCACTAGGCTAGGTTTATCTAGCGGCACGGTGGTAGGATCACTGGGAGACGCGTGGGCACACAGATGCAATATAAGGCTGCTGCTTTCTGCGCCAGACGACCCCTGCGGCGACAGGTTAGCGCTGCTGCTCAAGAGTAACATTGCTCCAGAAGCAGTCGCGCCGTTTAAGGTATTTATACATGTATTTACCTACGTTTTCCGTCTATGAAAAACTAGTAAATAAGTTTGAATAGATAAAAAGTGAAACTGTCTTTATGAGGGCATCCACGACTTTTTCTGACACCAGGGCGGCGGCTAAAAAGTGAGGTGTAAAATTTCAGTCGATGACTTGGCAAATAATACCATTATCCTCAACTCCTTAAGAAAGTCAAGACGAGTCCTTTCGTCGATAATATTATCTATCTCTCTTTTCTCGCATAGCTTATGCGGTCTTAAGTCTTCTAATCATTACTAAATAAACGGTAGCTCCATAGGGTCATAGAGTTATGGATGCCATACACGATCAAGTTTACCGTCAAGTTTGCAGCGCGCTTGAAGCGGCGTCAAGTTTGCAGTGCATCGATATAGGCCACACACGTTCAAGTTCGCCGTCAAGTGTGCATGATGACGCATCAGTTGAATTCATGGCGTCACTAGTGACGGACGACGATGCGTTAGCCATCCTAGGTTTATTGCTTGCAATTACTTTGCAAAAACTGGTTAATGAAACGAAAAAAAATATCTCAATAGTAAATAGCAAAAAATGTGAAACAGACAAGTGACGGCTCCTTGGCGCAGTGGCTTAGTAATGAGTTGCAGCGCTATAAGAGCCGCGGGTTCGAATCCCGGACGTAACAAGTATTTGTATGACCTACAAATAATTGTTCTGGGTCTGTTCTATGTATGTAAACTGTCCCTGCAATACAGAAGAAAATTCTAGTGTGGAAGTAACGTTTTTTAAAAAGAGAGGTAGAGAAACAACTAATGAAATTAAAATTTTTGTACAACCGACTTCAATACGATACATACATACATACATAAACACTCACGCCTGTCACCCAGAGGGGTAGGCAGAGACTACGGACTTCCATTTGGCGCGATCCTGACACACCTCTCTCGCCTCTTTTACATCCATATATCTACGCATAGACGCTCGTCGGTTAAGGGTACTCCTAATCTGGCCCATTTTTAATGTATCGCCGATTTGGTCGATAAACCTTCGTCTAGGGCGTCCCTTCTCGACCCTGCCGTTCACTTCTGCAACATAAATTTGATTTGTCACTCTTTCCTCGTTCATTCTTTCTACATGGCCAAACCACCGAAGCATTCCTTTCTTAATCCTTGTCACAACGTCATCTTGCAAACCACACTTTTGTCTTATCACACTATTTCTCACCCTGTCATTCAGATTCAGCCCTAGCATACTCTTTAAGGACCGCATTTCTACAGCATTTATTCTACTCTCATGCTTCTTCTGCCAGACCCAACTTTCACTACCATACATTAAAGTAGGGACTAACACAGCATTATGAATTGCCATACGTGCCTTAGTTGACACATTCTGACTCCTCATAATAGCGTGTAGAGCCCCATTCACTCTATTTCCTGCGTTCACTCGTCGTTCTATATCCTTATCATATCTACCATCCCTGCTAAATAAACATCCCAAATATACAAACTCATCCACTTGCTCAATCAACTCCCCTTCTATTCTTATTTCACATAAAGTTTTACTTTCTTCTCTTTCAAAAACCATCACTTTCGTCTTACTTGCGTTCACTTTCATACCCCTTTCTTTCAATGACCAATTCATTAAAGTAACCATCATTTGCAACTCGGCCGCCGACGATGCAAATATGACTTGATCGTCGGCGTACAGAAGGCATTTGACGGTTGACTCACCCATTCTCAACCCACATTCTTCAACTTTCAAAGTTTGCAAACAACTGTCCATAAATAGGTTAAACAGCCACGGGGAAGCCACACATCCCTGTCTGACACCTTTATGAATGCCAAACCAGTCCGAGTAGACCCCGTTGATCCTGACACAAGCACTAGAGTCCTTATAAAGAGACCTTAATGCCTTTATCAAGCCAGCGCTCAACCCAAATGAGTTCAGTGTTTGCCATAACACATTCCTGTCCACTCTGTCATAAGCCTTTTCCAAGTCCTTCAATACTTCAATACGAATACGCATTATTACGGATAATTCCAAAAGTACTAGTCAGATCTTGATCAAATTTATATGTGATGTTTAGAAAAAAGTTCTGAGGTTACACACATTAAAAAAACAGTCGAATTGAGTATTTTTTAAAGTCGGCTAAAATGGTAAGTAGGTCAATTATCTGAGTTTCAAAGACGTTCGCGTTGTTATATAATATTAATTTTCCTCGATGTTGCATATTAACCTTCCCCACATTGAACAATAAAGTTTTGGCTTAGCAATGAGTTGCAACGATGGGGACGCGGGTTCGAATCCCGCACGGAACAAATATTTGTATTTGTATGTGTATTTGTGTTTGTCCTCGTGCAATTTATGTTTGTTAACTGCCTCCACGATACAAGAGAAAATCCTAGTGTTGAGGTAACGTTTTTTTTAACAAAATAAAAAATAATATTTATACATTGCATAACACTTCGGTGTATTCTACTATATACCACGTGCACGCGTCTTCGCTTGCCGAAGCCGACTAACGTCATGCATACTTGACCGCTCATACACAGTACACACGTTCAAGTTTACATGACGCTGCAAGCTTGATCAAGTCGGCAGAATCGAAATTCAATTTTTGCTTCAAGTAGACTTGTCATGCACACCCATAGCCATACACCGTCAAGTTTACCGGACGCCGCTTCAAGCGCGCTGCTAACTTGACGGTAGACTTGATCGTGTATGGCTGACATTACGCAAGCAATATATGAACAAATTGAAAAAAAATTGTGCAACAAAATTAATTAGAAATGACGAGGCAAACTCACGCAAAAATTGTTTCGTTTCACCAAGATAACTCCCCTTAAAAAATAAATATTTATATTTACACTCTTCTCATCGCGCCACCTACCGGGAAGGGCAAAATGACATCTGCCCGGCCAGCTAGGTACATATATCTATACAAATTATAAAATTGAAGTGTCTGTTTGTAATGTTAAAATAACAGCTTTTTACTAAATGCATATGAAAGTATATACTGTATTAATAACAAAAACACAATTTTTAAAATTATTGTCTGTCTGTCTTTTCTGTTTGTTCCGGCTAATCTCCGAAACGGCTGACCCAATTTTGACGGGACTTTCACTGTCAGATAGCTGATGATATAAGGAGTAACTTAGACTACTTTTGTTTTAGAAAAAGAATTAGGGTTCCGCGCAAAAAAATTAAAACCCATTAAATCCAAGTTACACGTGGGCGAAGTCGTGGGGAACATCTAGACTACAAATAAAATGTAGCAATATCACAATTCCACTTTATATGAGTGGAACATTACAGTGAAAGCTATTTTATTAATACAGGCGTACCGAAGTTAATATTTGTTATTTTTCTATCCAGAAGCACTGAAACTGCATCGATGCAATGTAATTTACATTGCATTTATGCGATTGTGCTCTACATCTCGTTTGTGTCCAGCAACCATGAACCTTGTAGAAGCTGTGTAAGAGTATCCACTACCCCATATCGCCCCGTGAGTGTCGTACGATGCGAGGAGGTATCAAACCAGGACATTATGAGACATTCTATAGGATGGGGCCTAAGTTCAGCAGTGGACTTTGATAGGATGTAATGGATAGATGAGTCCATCAAACCTGTTGAATACTGGGACTCGAAGATGGCAAAGCGTTTACTAGTTTTATTGTTATATGCTTTGATCATTTAAGATATAATATTATTTATAGTAATTTCAGTATATTTTTTTGCGCTGACACTCTAGAACCTTTCCTGTCTATCGGTTTGTCAATCTATAGCTGGTCCGTTATCATTTCAAGTTAAATGAAGGCGTGTATGACGCTACTTCTTCTTCACGGGATACCTGATAAGCCCTGCAGGAAGTAGATGGATACATGTGACTGAGGACCATGCTTTGTGGCATTGTTTAGGCATGACTTAGGGGAGGCATTCAGCTGTGGACTTGTAAAGAGCTGTAAAGATGATGATGAATTTTTATTTACTTCTATCGTTAACACAAGTCTGACTTTTATATACCGCTCTGAAGCGTAAGAGAGCAGTTTAATAATTATCGGCTGTGAGATATTCCATCTTCATGACCAGAGATGACAAGATAATAAAAGATAGCCCATCTTATTCATATTTGTTTTGGTTACATGTACTCTGGGAGCTTCAGTAGTACAACATTAGGGTAACTAGAAGCTTGTTTGTGTTAAGGTAATATTATAAAAAATATATTTTCTTTTCAGATTACAAAAGAAGGTATAAGAGACGTCAATTAAAACACAACATGGAGAACATACGTAGTTTTATTAATAAGTGTAGATATTGTAAACAAAACTACAGCACCAATAAATATATCATTTTCACAAAATATCAAGCTTTTGTTTCTACAACATCTCAACAGTTATACAAATTTAAAGGCAGTTTCAGATCGGAACATAGCTCATTGCTAGTGCAACAATTCTTTAAAATACTCTGTAGTCTTATATTATGCGTTTTCTTAGGATACGAGAGTGAGTAACACGCGTTTGTAGTCTCCTTTCGTGTCATCCTGCAAGATATTACATCGAATTTTGTAACAGTATCCAACATTGGAAAAACATGCAAAGCTAACAAATAGATCAATCAACTGTGTTGCTACATAAGGTAATTCTATTTTGCAGGATTAAGCACAAAGTGTGACTAGCACATTCCTGAAGTCACCCGTTAGGTCTTCCTGTAAACAAATATCGAAAATACCAATACTTATAACGTTAGCAAAAAAAAAATACACACAGAAACTGGCCCATAATTTCTTACTGTCATAACATGCATAGGAGACGAGGCATGAGATTACAAATAAATACAACGATTTCTTATCATATTATTAAAAATAATTTATTATAAAATATTCCAAATGCAATAAACAGTGGTACCCATTGAAGTAAATTATATGGATACATAATATATGATTATTTTTCTTATCACTCGGTAGAGTGTTTAATAGATCTTGAAGAATTAGTAACACATTGTAGATAGGAGATCGCCGAGGGGGCCTCCTACCTCCTCCTGAAAAAATGGCAATAACTACTTGTAAAGCGAACCAAACACACTAGGTTCACCATATCACCCATGCTCTCACAACATAAAGCAGTTAGCTACAGTGCGAAGAAAGTTACAATGATTGTGAGAAAATAAAAAGCAAAATATACAGATCTTTGTGAACAAAATTTACACCCGGCATGGATATCCCATTTGAACACCACATACGAAATTAAGTAGGTATTAAAATAGTTTGAGTGTATTATATCCAATGTTCATATAGGTATCCTAAATTGACTTAAAAACCTAACAATTGACAAAAATAACTTAGGGAAGTATAAAGTAGGTAACGCTACGCTGTTATCCTGACTCTTGAGCCCATAATTATTCAACAATTGCCAACAAAGCCTTCTTGTAATCCCCGGATGTGTCGTCCTGCAAGCAAAATTTTTCACTATTCTAAAGATCACTTATTTCATATTCAGTCTCAATAAATCTCTTAATTAAATAAATCATTTATTAATACTTCGCAAGTAACAAAATAATTAGGAAAACAAATGGGACTATTTAAAAAGGTACATTAGGTTATTCACATTTACAGACATAATCAAGTGCCCTTGGCAACGAAAATTTCGAACCTTACTTTTTTAATATAGTCTGTGAGATCTGTATAATCTGTGTTAAGAATTACTTAAAGAATAGGTATGACATGAGTGTGAAATATATAATCGCGACAGTATTACATCTCATGCTAATTATATTTTAATATAAAATAAGAAAATTTAAGTATTTATCGAAATAATGGGTCAGCTCTGTGTAGTTTATGCATAACATACAAATTTTATATCCATGCTATTAGATGCGTTTTTTATATTCTATGTATAAAAATTATGTACAAATAATTGTTTTAAATTGAAGAACACAAATTTATTATGCAACACAGAATAATATTAGATATGGTAAATGAATGTTAGTAAGTATAAATATTAATGAATACGAAACTGCTATAATGAATTGAAATTATTTAATTACAAATCAGAGTTTACTAGTGAAAACAAGTAAACAGTGCCAAAGAACAAATGCAAAAAAGACAAAAGCATGGTTATTATTTGGGTTATGTAATGTCAGTATCAGTGATATAGATAATAAAACTTACAGCAATCCAACTCTCGAGAGTCTTTCCATATTTATCAAGGAACGCTTGCTTGATGTCTCCAAGGTCGATTTCGGAGCGGCTGACGATGATTCTGATCAAAGTCTTGTCGTTGGTTCCCAATCCCTTCATTGAATAGTAGAGGCGTTCGGCGAAGAAGCCAACCTTGCTCTTAACGCATTTAACTATAACAAAATATTAATTATACGTATATCCGTATAGGTGACAGTAACTCGCTGACAGATACAGATAACAGACGCTCGCTGTAAGCTTCACAGTACTCGAGCAACCCGGGTTCGATCCCCGTCGGCACTAATGAAATTGTTAATTGCAATTTTAAGTGCTGATTTGGCACGTGCTCGGCGGTGAAGGGAAACATCGTGAGGAAACCTGCATGTCAGGGAAATAAGAAAAAAAAATATTTCGAAGACATGTGAAGTTCGCCAACCAACACGCATTGAGGCAGTGCGGCGTACATTTCCTTGCCCTAAAACCCTCTCAGAAATGAGAGAAGGCCTGTGCCCAGCTGTGGGACGTAAATAGGTTGCAACTTTAACTTTTTAACGTATAGGTGGTTCGACTTGTAGCATGGCCTAATATTTTTGAGAGATTAGTTAGTGGAACTGGTGCACGAAGTTTCTGTACAGTAATTTGGCGAAATGAACATGCTTGTGTAATTTTTTAGCGGGTTTGTGCTAAAATTATAAAATTGGAATCAGCGTCCCTCTGTATCACATTGACATTTGAATAGTAAAACGCATTTTCTCAAATACCTACAAATGTTGGGGTTTTAAAAGTAAAAAAAAAACTGAATTCAAAGAAAACTCATTATTTGGGGCCTATTGACAGCTCCTATAAAACGCCATTACAAAAATATTGTCATTTTTTCTAATTTTATTTACCATATTCCAAAAAAATACCGTATCTCGTATTACCGTGAAGATAATCATCACCAGATTTCAGTTCCAGTGTCGTAAAAGGCAACTTCGGAAAATGCCGATAAGATCAGATGGCTTCGAATAGATGGCATTTTTTACGTGGTAGAGCCATGCAGCAGCTATATTAGTAGTATAGTTGTGGCACGAATGGGTCGGCTCGACCGGGGAAGGACCACGCTCTCACAGAATACCAGTGTAAAATAGCAGCTTAATGCTGCTGTGTTTCGTATGGTGAGTGTAGCGTACCGGACACCCTTTTTACTGGAAAAGAGGCTTTCCATCTTAGTCCTCACGGGTGACAACGCATCTGCATTTTGAGTCTTTATTGAGGATAGATGTACATGTCTATGGGGTCACAGCAACCACTTACCATCAGGTGGACTGTGTGCTCGTTTGTCACCCTATCCTATAAAAAAATATAACAATCTTGTTTATGCTAGGCGTAACACCCAGGCCAGTGACGGAGAGCAATGTGCTTGGGACTGGGATCGTCAATCCACCTGCCAAGCGCAAATTTTTCCTGCAACGTGAGAGGTCCACAGGAGTGGACTTTTGATAATTACGAAGAAGACGGTTAAAAATTAAAATAGAAAATTGTACGCTATGAAACGATCTTAGAATTGATTACGCACGCCACTGATTGTTTTGCAAACTGAGTTCGATATTTATTTCATAGTTACGCAAAATTCTCGTCAACTTGCTCCTTATCGACGCGCACGCGATAATGAGGCCGTTGTACATCATTAGAAATTTCATTAGTGCCTATGTCAACGTTTATTCAACATAACTACAAGTTTCAAAATGTTTGTCATTATAGACTTGTCTATTTTTCTGTTAATAAATTCTTAGTAGCGGCTCGGAATCAAGAAGTTGGTGGTATTTTTCATCTCTGTGTAAGGGAAAGCACGTAAAGCCGTTGGTACTGGGCCTGATCTCTCTTCGGTCGTGTCGAATTGCCGTCCCATCGGATTATGAGAGAAAAAGATTAATATGAGCATTATAATCCTGCCTTACGTACTATATGGCTATTCTCCGTTTAGAATGGCCGCTGTTACCGAAAATTTAACCTAGGGGACTTAATTCATATTTATATTATGTGATTATTTCATCATTGTTATTATGAACATGCTACTGTCTGATAAAAAGCTACCTGTTACCAATTCGAATGATAAGACTGGCAACTATGGAATAGCAGTATGTCTTATGAGGCAACCTATGGGGAACCTATGCTCGGCAGTGGACTAAGGTTGTAATGATGAACGAATGAATTATTAAGATCGAATTTGGTAGGTGACTAGACAAGATCGTGACGTAATCGGGTAATACTGTAGTTCTAAAAAAGTTAAGTGAGTCAGTACAAGGTCGATAACACAACACTTCCTGCTGTGAGCACAGATTAGGTACATGACCTTGGTGTTAGCGTTAAAAACGCACGTATTATACGGGGTTTAGATAAAACGATATAATTATGCATTGATAACAAACGAAATGGTATAATTTTTGTTAATATAAAACTAACAAATTTAGTTTTTAATCGTTTGATCCCTAGCTATTAAAACTATATTTTAATCGATGCTAAATATTAATTTTTCGTTATACAGGCATGGAATAAATATTATATAGTTAAACGTAATATAAGTTATAAGGGTAATGATATTAACCTGAGGCAAATACGATACTTCAAAAAGCAAAATTTTTAAATAAAAAACAAACTAAACCAAAACATAATATGCACTTCCGTTAGTACCTAACTCGGGACATATAATATATTTTAATAACTAAGTAGGTACTTACGGAAGTTTTACATTTTCAGTGATTAATTACCTTATGACTTTTATTTTCTGATAAAACCTAACATTTTCTGGAACAATTCTGTCTTGGAATTGAACAAATTCGAAATATTTGTAAGTTAAGTGTTACATTTAGTGTTCATTTAAAATATGATGTGTCTTATTATACTTATTAGAATCATACTTACCGATAGCTAGCATGCCCTTTTCGATGCTTCCAGAGAATTCCTTCTTGATGGTCTCCTCAACGTCTTTTCCGGTCAACGCCTCGTACTCGGCGAATATCTGCAACAATATATAAAATAAATTATTTTTAACTTGACCCTCAGACGTTATCAAGAACAATTGATGTCCGCAATCGGAGGCCATCCTCAATA